AGGAAAGGAAAGGAAAGGAAAGGAAAGGAAAGGAAAGGAAAGGAAAGGAAAGGAAAGGAAAAAGGAAAAAGTTAGGATAAATGAAGAGACAAAGGGTGAAATGTTACAGTGCCCCATGAAGGAAGAGAGACAGAAAGAAAAGTTTAAAGTAGTCAGGGAGAGCTTGATCACAGAATCACTGAAGCACCAGCACTTTCATGGGGTGAAGGTTAAGGTGGCAATATATTACAGACAAGCTGTAAAGAGAAACATGAGAAGAAAAGAGAAGTCAAGTGTGGTGTAACAAAATGCAAATAGGCAGAACAGGGAGGGCTCTGCAGGATCTCAGCTGTGGTCTTTTTTATCCTCAGAGTCCTGTAAACAAGAACCCATCCAAGTGAATAACGGAGACACAAGAGAAGACACACCCATCCCATTGCCCTGTGATGAAAAAAGTAATTATCACTTATCTTACCAATTTTCTAATTCTCTTTGTTTTTCTATGAGAGCAAAAGCTTTCCTTTGTTCTCTGATACTAACCACCTCCCTGACCCTAACAATATCCAAGACCCACAGCCTTGTGCACACCCTCTGGCTACTTCTAAGTCATGTGAGATGCAAGGGGGAAAGAGAGCTGAGCTCTTTGATGAAGGGCATGTCCCTGAGGAGAGAATACAGAGAGAGAAAATACTAAAAAAGTGAATCAAAGAACACCAAATGACAAAGTACAGGAACAACATGGGCTTTAGATAAATTGACATAGAATCTAAACAGTACCATTTTGTGGAGTTAGTGAAAAGAAATAAGTTGCAACTTGCTTTTCAGAAGTTGTAACAGAAACATGGAAACCATGCATGATACTGCTGGTCAGATTTGCAAGTACAGAAGCTCTGGTGAAGGACTTTTAGAAAAAAAGTGGGAATTGGAGGGACTTGGAGTGGGGGGACAGTGACACAGGAGGAGAACTTTGGTGATAACTGGAATGCTTGAGATGAGAAAAATGAATAGAAAGACAAAAATCAACATAGAAGAGGCATACAGAAAGACACACTAATAATTAAGAAATAGAGATCAAGTAGGAGAAAGTAGGAAATGTAACAAAGAATGGATAAACTGAAAAATCTGGTAGGGGAGAGCAGGGCTAGTTCTAGGATGAGGCAAGGAGGTCCTAGGACACATGGAAAGAAAATCTTATTTTTGGTATTTTCTTGTCCCCTTGGCACCTCTTCTGACTCACCCTAGAACCTGCTGGATCCTGGGAGATAGTGATAAAGAATGTTGAGAAAAAGAGTATGAATAGAGAAATAGACAGAAGGAAATTAATACCAGTAAATAGAAAAAATAGGGAGGAAGCCTAAAGAGAATGAGTAGAGGATAGGTGAAGGGACCATGAGTGAAAAAGTGATAAGAGAGTGGACCAAATAAAGAGAGAGAAGACAAAAATGGAACATTGTTCCATTTGAAAAGATGATCACCAGAAAAAAGACACAGAGGGCTCTTCCTAATACCACTGAGAAGACATCATTAAGCTGTCTACAATTACCAAAATGACCCTTTCACTCCCTCAGAAAAAAAATGGGCCTGTACCCAAGCATCTCATGTCTCCATGGCTTCAGTCACCACCTGTGATCTGTGGATTCCTACACACACCTCTTCTCCAGAACTGTCTTCAAGATGCATTCCTTTAAGTGCCTGAAGACTTGTAATCAAAGATCTGAAATTCATTTCTATTCAGAATCTATATTAGTTACCTGTTGTTGTGTAAAAAACAGTCCTGAAATTCAGTGGATTAAAATAACCATTACTTTATTTGCCATTGCTGTCAATTCCAACTTCAAAATATGTCCAACCTGCCCATTTCTCTCCATGTCCAGGATGCTTACGCTAATTCAGATTCCTATCACTTCTCACTTCAAAGTAGAGGAACTTTCCTGCTGGCCTCCTCCCTCCTATCTTGCTCCCCTCGATCTGTTCTCCATACTTCAGCTCAATGAGCATTGCAAAAGTGCCAACCAGTTCATATGGCTTTCCTATTTAAACCTAGTGCCCTCTTGTGATCCTCAGCATGAGGTCAACATAACTTGGTGTGGAGTGTTGAAGGGTACCTCCCATACAGTTGCATAATCTCCCCCGACACTCTCTTCCACCACATTCCCACCATACCAAATTCTGCTTGTTTACTTGAATTGTCAAGCTTTCTCAATTATATCTCTGCCTTTGCACTGTATACGGTTTGGTATATAGTTCCAAAGTTGAAAATACACATAGCTTGTGACTTGGCAATTACATTCCTCAGCTGAAACCAATAGAAATGCACACTATGTTCAAAAAGAGAAAAGAAACACACAGAAAAACAGTATTATTCATAATAGCCAAAATCTTAAAACAGCAAGATCACAATAATCAAAAAAAAAAAAAGAATTTTTTTTATGGTTTTATTTTTTCATGGCTTATTTCTACAATGGAATACTATACAGAAGTTAAAAAGCAAAATAAATACAGATGATTCTCACAAACATAATGTTGAGAAAGGAAGCCAAATCGTCTCCCTGCCCCCACCAAGTGACAGAGACAGAGAAAGAACAAATGAGGGAAGGGACATAATTCAATTTATACAAACATGTATATTTTGGAAGGGGCAAAATTAATCATAAGTAGTATTAAAAGTCAGGATGAGGGGCGCCTGGGTGGTTCAGTGGGTTAAAGCCTCTGCCTTAGGCTCAGGTCATGATCCCAAGGTCCTGGGATCCAGCCCTGCCACGGACTCTCTGCTCCACGGGGAGCCTGCTTCCTCCTCTCTCTCTGCCTGCCTCTCTGCCTACTTGTGATCTCTGTCTGTCAAATAAATAAATAAAAATCTTAAAAAAAAAAAAGTCGGGATGAGCATGTTGTTAACTTGAGCTACATGCTGGAGACAGTCAGTGGGAGGCATTACTAAGAGGCTCCCAGGGTATGAGTAATCTTCCATTTCTTGACCACAGTAACAGTTACCCAGATATGCTTACTTTGTGATGATTCAAAATTTATGATTTGTCCATTTTTTTTCAATGCACATTTTACTGAGAATATAATTTTTATTTTTAAAAAAGAGCAAAAAGTGGGGCTCCTGGGTGGCTCAGTCAGTTAAGCATCTGACTCTTGGTTTCAGCTCAGGTCATGATCTCAGGGATGTGAGACAGAGCCCCACGTCGGGCTCCATGCTCAGCACAGAGTTTGCCTGAGATGCTCTCTTCCTCTGCCCCCACTAAAATAAATAAATAAATCTTTAAAAACAAAAAAGCAAAAAATAATTCATCAAAGGATGAAAAGAGAAAATAAAAACAAACAAAAAACCCCCCAAACCAGGGAGGCACAGAGAAAGGGACACAGTTAAGCAGCAGGAAAGAAGGGGGTGGGGGGGCGGAGCTTCACCCCTGCAGTGGATTTACAGGGAGAAGGACTTATCGATAGTAGTGAACAGTGTGTACTCCCTTTGGGGGAGACAAATGAAAATTCTTCATTCATTACAATTTGATCTAGGCTCACCGCTATCCAACCATGGAATCCAAATCAATTCCTGTTCTGTGCATCTGGTGGATATAAAGAAGGAAAAGCCATTTTCCAGCTCGACACTTAACCAGGCATCTGCCGTAATAGGTAAGGCTGACTGAAAGAGTGTGTAATTTGAGTCACCAGTTCCAGGCAAGGGGCTGAGACTTGTCATCAGGGTCCATCGAAGCAGCCCAGTTGACCTTGGATGGAGGCAAGAGGGGAGGAAACAGCATCATACACAGTGAGCTCCACAGGAGAAAATCCCAGTAATCAGAAAAAGACAGAAGTAGTAGATTTAAGTACTAACATATGGAAGATGATTTCTAAAGCGAAAGAAGAAAGTATTGCGGTAGAAGTTGAAGAAAAGGAAAAAAACTTCAGAAAGCCAAGATATTCATGAGAGGGAATGAAGAAGGAAACACATGAAGACAAAGAGAGGTATAGAGGGATACCACTGCCAGAAAGAGAGGCATAAATAAGGGCAATAGGCAAAGCCAAGAAGAAAGTGGAGTAAATTGGGACTAAAAGATATAGGGAGCCCGGAGGTGCCGGGGGGAAGAGTAGGAGATCACATGAGGGCAGAGGTAGGAGGTCACATGAGGGCAGGGGTAGGAGGTCACATGAAGGTGGGGGAAGAAGAGTGTTGGCAGGGGTGGGCAACACTGCCCTCTGTGCATGAATTCCATCACTTTTAGTTTAGGACTGGAGCAACCTGCAGGTCACACACATTCAAGCACAGACCAGGGTGCCTTGAGTTAACTTAACTTCTAGGTTTCCCTAGTGGTCCTGTTGCTGAATTGCCTGCTATGTGGGCTCATTGGCCCCACCCTGAAGCTAAAGGGCTTTGCTCCTCTGTGCAGTGATCAGCAGTGACTCAGAGGAAACCAGTGATGAAGACAAGGCCCCAGAAGACTCCATGTCAACACTGGAAAGTGGACCCGGTAAGGAAGTGAGAAAGCAGGCTTTGGCTACAAGAAGCTGAATTAAGATCTACTGTTTGATACACCTTATTCTGTGCCTATTCTGTATGATAGATTCAGTTTATCCTGGAATCCCAGTCTCTGCATTTATTTTACTCTACCTTTTTGGGAAATGCAGGAAGATTAAAAAATCATTGTATATATAGTTTTTTTAAGATGAGGCCTATTAATTGATAGGTCCTATTTTTCAATACAAGCACCCATGTATTGATTATATAGGAGAAAGGGGCTACCAAAATGATGATATTTTTTTTTTAACTAGCTAGTTTCTATGCTTATATGGTATTGGATTTTTACAGTGATTTTTGTAGGGAACAGAAAGCTAAATATTCCTTTATTAGAAGATCATATCATCATCTGAGCACAAACTGAATTGTGTCAAAAGACAACTCATTCAGCTAACCGGTGTTAGCAGAAAAAAGATTCAGATAGAGCACTCTGAAACCCAAAGTATTGTTTTTGAGAGTTCTTCAGCAAGTCATGGCATCGATAATGACTTTTCCAAGGGCTTTTGCAAATAATACCTTACTTTTTAATTTATAAAAATCTTAAGTACCCCAGACATTGTAGAGAAAACACAATCACATCAGTGTTTAAAGGTCTTCTACAAAGTCTCATGGAGAATTAAAGGGACAGACAAGACAGCATCTTGGATTCTGCATTTTTGCTCTTTAAAATTGAAGCTAAAAATGATTTTCAAAATTATCAAAATGTTTCCTCAGTTTTGTGGGTAGCATGAGTGGTCCTAAAGTCTGCAGATCTTTTGTGCACACATGGGTGATTTTTTCCCCTTTCTACTTTCTTGACCCAGAGGTTATTAGAAACATGCCTGTTTAGGGAAACATACTTGGAAAAGACCTAAAAACAAGTAAAAATATTACCTGGTCCTGATGTTACCAAAGAACAGTATTTTAAATGATACATCATTCTTATTACTTACTAGATCCATCAAAGTAAAATGTAAATTCACTTCAGGTTTTAAAGGGTACACATTTTAACTTCTGTCTTAGTATAGCAAACTGCTCTAAAAGGCAGTCCCAAATATGTCTAGGAGTCAGACACAAGAGATTATTTCTCAGCCTTGCATATGCACTGGGTTGGGCGGGACCAGAAGAGGTTGTTGACACAGGATTTCCAAGGTTAGAAACAGCAGAGATGAAGAAAGTGTGAAGTGACAGTGGAAGGGGTAAGAAGTAGAAAAGAGATAGTATGGGAAGAGCAAACAGGGCAAAGTTGCCCTTTGCCTCTGGGGACAGGGAATGGAATGGGACTACTGTTCAAGGCAGGTAGCTTAGAAGGACAGACCAGGGTGGCACTGTTGCAGACCACAATTTGCATGGGTTTTCTAGATTTTTCTAGCTTTTCTTATGGGGATATTTCCTGCTAGTATTTCAGTTTCTTGGTCACACGCTGAGACCCCGAAAAAGCCCTCTTCCTTTGTGCAGTGACCAATAATCTTGACTCATTAGAATCAAGGGAGAGAGGAGACTCCCAAGAAGCTACCTGCTCACGACTTCAGATTACACTGGGTAAGAGCATTAGGATTGCAGCCCTGGAGGACAAATACTTGGAGTCTAAATCCAGAGCTGTTTTTCTGATGAACCTTGTTTTGAGCATGCTCTATGTGCCTTGATTCTATAACTTCCAGGGACTATTTTCTGCATTTAATTTCTCTCACCCTGTTGGGAAGTGGAAGGAGGCAGGAAGGCATAATAGATTGTTATTTAACTGCATGGGCCCATTTGACTGATATATAGATAATGTAGCAAAAATATGCTGGTAAAATGACGAACTTTTTTTCTATGCACTATCATGTATTAATGCAAAAGAGTCGCAGTAATGTATCTATTCTCTACCAGTATGCTTTATATTCTATTCAAAAGAGTAAGCATGGTGCACCTCTGTTTGTTGACAGTATTGTCTTCAGTTCCAAACTCAAAAAGCCTTCAAAGAATAATTTGTGCTATTTAATTATTGATGGGAGAATGACTTCTGATCAGCTATTCTTAAACCCAAATTACTTAACTATTGGCTCACATTGTGATTTTTTAAAGGGCTTTTATAAATAAAGCTTCATTTTATTTTCATAAAAAACCTTAACAGGGAGATAGGGTAACTAGGTTATCCCTGCTTTATAGATAAGGCAACTGTGGCCAGTAATGTTGAAGAGTCATTTAAAAATTTACATGGAGAGCAAAAGAAGAGCCAATCAGGAACCCAGCATTATACTCCAGGCCATCAGAACTGGATTCAGTTGAAGGAAAGAGAGAAAAATGATCATCAAAGGATTGTTACGATTACAAGCCCATTGAGCTGTCACAGAATTTGTAAGATCGTTGCATACAAATAGTTGTTTCTTCCCTTTTACTTTATAGACCCCACGGATTTCAGAAAATTGCCTATATCCAAAGAAAGAGTTTGGAAAGTAGATAAGGGAAAATAAAAACTCTTGGTGGTTACAAATGAAGAGTGCTTTCTACAAAAGATCCATTCTAATTCTTTGTTATATCTTTCAAAGTAGAATATAAATTTGTTTTAATTTAGGGGGGTTTGTATTTTAACTTTAGTATTAATTAGTTGGGCTAATGGTTGTAACAAGCAAACCCAAAAAAGTCAAGGGCTCAAACACAATAGAATTAAATTTTTTTCTCAAGTAAACTTTCCAAGGAGTTTTAGATGGGGGAGGTGGGGGACCCTGTTTCAAGTGGGCTTTAGGGAAGCAGCCAAGTGGGAAATCTGCCTTCTTTGATACCGGACTCCCAAGATGTCCTGGGGATATTCTTGCCATGGCTTTTTAACCATCTTGGTTCCTTTGTCATAAACTGAGACTTTCAAGGGACACTTGCTTCTTCCACAGCGAAAAGATTTGTTGAGTATTTGGAATCCAGTGAGGATGAGGGGCCTCCAAGAGCCTCGTGCTCAGTACTGAGAAGTGATACTGATGAGGAGGGTAAGTACTGACATCACTGGACTCCCAGACATGAGGAATCTGAGTTCAGAGTTCTTGTTTCCTGGGCATTTAACTCCGAGCACACTCCACAGCCTAGGATCCTATTCTCTGCATTTATCACATCTGGCCATTCTGAAAAGTGTGAAGAGAGAAATCATTATAAATTCAGGTTTAACAAGATGGCTCTAGTTGAATGGTAGTGTCATTTTTACGACATGCTTTCAGATTTATTGACCCCAAAGTATTGAATTCTGTAGTGATTTCCACCCCTGCCCACTCTGATTTTCTAGAGAGCAGAGAAAATGGGTATCTGCTGTTGCTTGACTTTGTAGCACACTTGTTCAAAAATCAGAAGATTCTGATCATAGACTTTGATTATTGGCAGAAAGAAAAGCTTCTGGTTATGATCATCAAATTTAATTTATACCTTTTGACAGATGACCCCAATATGACATTGGTCTATACAATATTTGAAAATATCTTCACTAGTAAGATACCCTTTTATGTTTATAACAACTTTAAAGGTAGCCAGATAACTGTTACTGTCTCCACTCCACAGGTGAGGAAACTCTGGCACATAAACATTTAAGGATCTTCACACATCTTGTGTGGAAAGTTACTAGAAGAGACAAAACAGCCCGGACTCTTAGCAAACATCCATAGTATTTTATTCAAAACCTTTGAAGCCAGGCATAAAATAACAATCTGTTAGAGAGACAATGTGGTTTATATCTTACATATTACCCCCCAACCACCAAAAATCCAACAGGGTCGGGGACAGAATCCCATTCTCAAATATACTATATTGATATTCCTGCAACAAATTGTGTGATTTCACACCAAGTGTGAGAAATAAAGTTTTTACATGGAGTCATGTCAGCTCAAGTCCAGATTCGCTGCCGAAGTAGTTAACTGAAAACCTATGGGAAAAATATGGATTTTCAAAACTTCTTTGATTTTGCAGTTGGGGCCAAATGATTATGGTTCTCTGTGCCATTTAGTAGTGATCGTTCTCCTTTAGATGGGAAGAGACAGAAATGATCATCATAGTGTCTTTCTAGTCCAAATCCTATCTACAGCGTGAGTAGTCATAAGATTTACAACTCTTAGTTGTAGATTACTGGTTGTGTTTTCCATTACTTTTTAGATCCTGTGGATATTGGAGACAAATCTATTTGGGGGATACGCAAGAGGAAAAGATGTAAGAGCAATTAAAAATCTTGATGTAACAGATATGTTTCTTTACTTTCTTTACAAAAACTTTGTTCAAAAAATTTTGTTATATCCCCTAAAATAAAAAAATTAATTTGTTGGTAATTTAAAGGATTCACATTATACGTTTTGAATTGGGTGGGCTGGACTAATTGATACAATGTGTAGGCCTCAAAAAGTTCAATGGTACAAGTGCAATATAAGTATATTCTTCACTTGCTTAAATAGGATAAAGTAACTGCAGGAGTGGAGGGCTGTTCTGCTCTGTATGATTATTGAAGACCCCAGCTGGTAAAGGCCTTGACATCTTGAAAACTTTGTTTCCACAGACTCCCTGGATAAGCAAGGGAACTGGAAGAGGAAGTGTGTTCCAACAAGTGAAGAGGGTAAGACGTGATGACAAAAGGGAGTGCCTTCCATGGCAACGTTGTCCCCCAGCCAAGCCCTGGGGGTGGTTCCTGGAGCAACCTTGACCAACAGGTCAGATGGAGCTACAAGGCAGCCTGGTAGTAGGAATATTCCTGCTTCTCCTACATGAACTTCCTTTTCTAATTTTCCTTTTAAAGAATTTGGTGCCAGATTTGTTCCTAGGACACAGACTGAGACTGCTAAGGAATTTTGTTTCTTTCTGCAGGGATCAGCAGTGCTAACTGTTCAGAATTAAGTGATGCAGAAGAACCTCAGGAATCTTCTAGCTCAGTCCTAAGAAGTCGGTCAGGTAAAGAAGATTAGGATGCCAAGCCTTGTTCTGCAGAATGTCAGGAATTAAAAGCTACTGTTTCCTGATGCATTCTATTCTGAGCACCTTGAAGACCTGTATCCAGTTAATCCTGAGAACTCCTTTTCAGCATTTTAGAAACTAGGAGACAGGAAATTATTATAAATTCATGTTTAACAGGCTGAGTCCTAGCGAATAAATGTATGTAATTATATACTGCTGTTGTGGAAGAAATGAATAGCAAAACGGTGGTATCTTTTTAATACCTACTGTCATGCCTATTACCACTAAGATCTTAGATTTCTATAGTGATATATTGATTGGTACTAATGTCATTTGTAATTGTAAAATTCTCAAAAGACGACTGGTCCTGCTATGTAATTATAGACAGAAATAAAAGCTTCAGATCCACAACTTTCAAACTTTAGTATAGTTCTTGACAGATGTCCACCACATTGTAACTTGATTATATTGTGTTATTTTAAAGTACTTTGGCAAATAAGATCTTACTTTGTCATCACAATATCCTCAGGACTTATGCAGGCTAATTTCTGTTATCCCTATATTGGGATGAGGAAATAGACATTTGACCAAATTGCCCAATTTGACCAAAGGTCAAAAAGTATGACTGTTTTATTAACAGGCAGGAATATAAGAGCTGTATCCAGTGATCAAAGTCCAAAAAGGAGGTACAAGGGACCTACGATATAGTATCAGCAGAATGTATCAGTGCCTGATGCAATAAAACTTATTTAACACCTATATAGATGATTAGATAGATAAATAGACAGATAAAAATGAAAATCATGAAGAAAAATAAGATGGTAGGAGTGGTGCCAGCTACAAGGTATACAAAATACGTGGAAGGGCAGAACCAAAAGAATGAATAGAGAAATAAAAACGTGGGCACCTGGGTGACTCAGTTGGAAGCAACTGCCTTCGACTCAGGTCATGGTCCTGGAGTCCCAGGATCGAGTCCCACATCAGGCTCCCTGCTCAGCAGGGAGTCTGCTTCTCCCCTTTAGCTCTCCCCCCTCTCATACTCTCTCTCTCAAATAAATAAAGTCTTTTTTTAAAAGAGAGAGAAATAAAAAGGCACAGAGATTAAGAACATCACTGATGAAAAGAGAGAAAACAACACAGAGGACAAGGGAAATCAGGGAGAGAAGTTCACAGAATCAAGTAATGGAGATAGAAATGGGCAAGTCAGGGAAGTGGCCAGAAAACTGAGAAATAAGGAGGAGAATGAGTTGTGGCCAGATAGAAAAAGTGACAGAGCACATCTTTGTTGGATATAACGTGTAGTCATTGGAGTGGGTGTTTTCTCAATTGATCTGAATAGTGAATATAAATGGGCTTGACCACATCAAAGTGGTCCCTGTCTGTAGTCTGTCATTTTCTTATTTCTCTTCAGTATCCTCTTGTGAATTCAAAGCTCTTCGGATGAATAGAGGAAGAGAGTTAGAAGAGAGGCCAACATTTAAGAATCTGATGGAGAAGCCAGTTATGATATTAATTATCTTTGTTTTCCTCTCTGCAAAGAGGGAAAGCTCTTCTTTCTTTAACTTACCTCTTCCCCCAAAACATAGCATGTACATACACACACAGATGCACACACACTCCCATACATAGACTTGTGCCCAGATTTGGACTGCTTTCAGCAGGTTTGAGAGAGCCAAAAGAGAAAGAAGAGCTGTGCTCCTGAACAGAGGGAGGTGACACTGAATGGATAATGGAGGAGGAAGAATGAAAAAGATAGGCTGCGGTCTCCAATTGGAAAGACATCTGACTGAGTACACTTCAAGTTTTTTCAAGGGGACATGGAACCCAAATATCACCAGATTGGGGAGTTTTGTGGGGAAGAGTGATGATTTTTCAAGATAACTCTCAAGAGTTGTACCAGAAACATGGTAATAAAGTCCATGACTGGCTGAGTCTTGCAATGTAGAAAAGCCCACAGAGAACTGGCAAAAGTAATAATGGCCAACAGTGTGGTCAGTGTCAAAAGAGTAGGCCTTTGATTCATGAATGACAGTAGCAGTCTGTGAGATTAAGCTGAATACAGATAAAATATAAAGACAAAGATTGTAATTGTATAAACAGCCAAAAGATCAAGAGATTAGGAGAAACAGATGAGAAGCAAAAAGAAAATAGAAAAGAAAGTGACAGCAGAAAGAGGATTACCTCAATAATAAAACTAGATCCAGGGATAAAAGCATAGGAAAATAGATGGAAAAAAGTACACATGTTAGGTTAATTAATGGAGAAGAGAATGAAGAGGCATACCGAGGACCATATAAAAAAAGAGTTAAAAGATGATTGAAAAATGGTGAGTGTAAAAGGAAGAGAAGCAAGATGGGGAAATTGTGGGCTCTGAAATGGTCAGGAGACAAAAGCAATGTTGGTGCAAGGAGTGCTTCACAATAGCAGTGAGTTTTCAGGGCAAGGTGTTCCCAGGTATCAGTGTCCCCTATAACTCACCCGGATTATAAGAAACATCATCTTGGCATCTCATCCACTCCTATGGTTTCAATAACCATCCACAACTTAATAGTACCTAAACATAACATATCCAGCCTAGCCCAGTCCTCTGAGCAGCTAAGCTCATCCTTTATGCAGCTAAAGTCATCCATCCAATGGCAGAATGATCTCTGTCCGAGGTTCTGAAGATCCTAGCCTTCACCACTTTAGGTGTCTTTCAAAACCTTCAAACTTGACATTTCCAAAACTGAACACATCGTCTTCCTAAAACCAGCATCTGCTCCTCCAGTGTTTCGTTTCTAAAACACACTATTAATTTTCCCATTCTTTCAGGCTGAAATTCACGGAGTCATGCATGACACCGCTATCTCCTCAATTGATATACCACATCTGTCACCTAACTCTATCAATTCTTCCTTTTTTAAATCTCCAACATGTCTCTTCTTCTCCATTCCCAGTGCTGACACTCTAGTCCATATCTGTATCATTGCTCACTTGAACTAGATATACAAGTTCCTGTTCTCCTTCTAATCTCCTTCTAATCTTGTTCCCACCAAATGTATTCTAAGTGATTTAGCTAAATTGATCCCTCAAAACTGTATCCCATGTCCTTTAACTTCCTTTAGGATAAGTCAGTTCTCCTTCATGTGACCTCCAAAGCTACTTACCTCAGGGCTCTTTCCTCTTTTCTCCATCCCATCAATGCTCCTTATTCTTTCTCCTTGTGGTTACTTGTTTTTGCTGAATCTAGACCCTTGCACATGCTTCTTCATATTTCAATATATTCAGTCATTTGTTTCTGTGTCAATTCTCTGGTGGCTCATAAGATTGACAAGCACTGATGCTTCAGTAGTCTTGTGTCTTAATTATTATCAGCACCCATCTTATTATCTCAGCACCTGGCACCTGAAAGAGGCTTAGGAAACTCCTTGAGTAAGTGAAAAATACTGTTCACTTCCTGTATCTCAACATTTGGAAATTTGTCTGGCAAAAGTTACCTTATTATAGTATTTATACAGAATATTTACAGAATCTATTTTGATTCTATATATACATATACATAAATAAAAATAATATTTCTAGAAAAGAATAATCACATAAAATAAATATAAAAGTATGTTAAAAATGTCATAAATGGATGGATAGGAAAAGTTATTAATGAAAATAGGTGAACAAAAATACATATTTGGGCAAAAAGAAAAGGATAAAAGAGAAAAAAATAGATTGAAAGGAAGGGTCAAAGACAATGGGGAACAAAGAAAGAGATTTCAGAGGTGGAGATATCCTTTAGTGGAGGGGTGGGGGAAGGGAGGATCTTTGTAAGAGAGGAGATGCAAATGAAGACTTTTTACAAATCATAATTTAGGAGCAGAGCCACAAGGACTTGGAAGTGCAAAGTGTTCCTGTGTCATGTGTTTTTCAGAAGGTATTTCAAGAGACCAAGGAGCAAGGACTGAGAGTAGCCAAGCATCTGACATAATGGGTAAGGCTGCCTGAGGGTCTTGGGGTAGAGGTGGTTCTTCAGATACCACAGACCCTGAGTATGTAGTTAATCAGAGATCGAGGACATCAGGCACCTCACCAATGGAATGGCCAGTTATGGAAGTGAAAGTTCACTGGGCCCTCGGCTGCAGGATGTCAGAGTCTGAAATCAGAGCTTTTGTTTCCCGCTGCACTGGACTCCTCACACACTTTGATAGGGAAGGGATACATCCATACCAGAATCCCATTCTCTGCATTTGCTTAACCTGAGCCTTTTGGGAGTGGCAGGGAGGCAAGAGACCCTTATAAAGTCATGTTAAACAAGGTGGGCCTTGTGGATTTACATGGATGATCTGGTAGAAATACACTGGTAAAAATGGCAGTATCTCATTTACTATATTAGTGAATCAATACTAAAGTATTGGATTTATACAGGGACATCCACCCCTGTCCATTGAATGAAAAAATCCAAGAGTTCTTCAGCTGGTAGATAATAGTGTCACTTTGTCACAACCGTGAAAAAGCCTCAAAAGACAAATGGTCCTGTTTACCTGTCAGGAAACAAAGGCTCTAGATAACTATTCTTAAACAGCATATAGTTTTGAAGGATGCCCTCCAGAATGTTGACTGATACAGTGATTTCTCATTAGTTTTTATAAATAAGGTCTTATTTAATTGTCATAACAAATTTAAAGCCTGAACAGGATAACAGTTGTTATCCCTATTTCAGGAACAAGGAAACTGATGTCCTTAAGAACTTAAGAGCCTTTTCAAAGTCCCAGAGAAATAAAGGAAGACTTTTGACATCAATTCAGTACCTGTCTGTTTCCTTTAGAAGGAAGACAGAGAAATGATACTCAGATCATTATAAACTCAAGTCTTCCACAGTGTAAATTGTCATAAGATTTATAACTTTTATTTATAAATTACAGTTATATGACCACCACCTGTTACTTTTTAGATACCGTGGATATTGGAAACAATTCTACTTCGGGAAAACACAATGAGAAAATAAGTAAGAATGAATAAGAATTTGCTTGATTTTTATGTTACAAATGAAGTGGTGTTTAATGCTAAAGCTTATCATCATTTTTTATACCTTTCATAAGAAAAAATGAATGTCTTTTAAAGTAACAATTTTTTTTCCAAAATGGTTATATCTTCATGTTGCATTTTATTCTGATTTTAAAATATGTTTCTTATAAGCATTGGTCTATGTCTTCCCAGAATTTTTCTATGCATATATTAACTGTTTGCAATATATTTTTATATATCTTCATGTGGTAATTCTATACATACTTTTCCTTTTCTTACTTTTTAAAATTAATATATCATACCTAAGCAGTAAAAACATTCAACATTTTAATTGAACTATAAAAAGTCTTACTTGGTGCTTTCACATGTACTAGCCTTCATTTTGAGGGTGGTAGAGCATTTTTCATTTGTTATTGGTCATTCATTTTTCCTCTTTATTGAAGTATCTGTCATAGAGTGCTGTGTCAGTTTCCTGTTGTGGTATTTGTCTTTTTCTTACATTGCTGAATGAATATATAGAAAAGCTTATCTGATATATACATTAAATCTTTGTCATATGTGTTGCTAATACATTGCCCCATTTGTTTTCCTTTTATTTTATTTATTTATTTATTTATTTTAATTTAAGATTATTTCTTTATTTTAGAGACAGAGAAAGCATGAGTGGGTGTGGGGGGCAGAGGAAGAGGGAGAGAGAGAATCCCAAGCAGACTCCTTGCTGAGCATGGAGCCCTACTGGGGGTTCGATCTTACCACCCTAAGATCATGAGCCATGCCGAAATCGTGAGTCAGGTGCTTAACTGACTGAGCCACCCAGGTGTCTCTGTTGTTTTCCTCTTGGGTTTTGTTAATAGACTCTTTTGTCCTAGAGACATTATAAATTTTTAGGTACTCAAATTTGTCAGCTTTTTTCTCTCTGGCTCTCGGGTTTCCCATCATTTTTATAATAGCCATTTCTAGCTGAAGACTTAAAAAAAATCTCATCTTTGATTCTAGAATCAAATGTTTGAAGCACCTGGTCATTTTTAATGTTTACGTCTATAATTCCATGGGTTTTGCCTCTTTGTTTTTATGTGAGGTTGGAATTTCAAAAATATTACCCACACTACTACATTGTTATTGAACCGCCACTTTAATCACACAATGCCTTTGCCTGTCTATATACTAGATTTTCTCTTGCAAGCAAAGGGGCTGCAGAAAAGAAGAAAGATCTCAAAGGTAGCACAATCCTGATGACTCACTGGGGGTGAATATTAGAATCAAATTCAAAAGACCCCCTCTTCATCTCCTTCCCAAATCCACTGGAATCCCTAATTAGATACGCACTGAATGTTATATGTAAGTGATGAGCCACTGAATTCTACACCTGAAACCAGTTTTACCATATGTGATAACTAACTAGAATTTAAACAAAAACTCAAAAAAAAAAAAAAGGAAGAAATGCATTGAAAATGCAGATTGATTTTGGGAGAACAGAGACTTTTAACCACTTTTTCACATCTTATTTAATGTTCTTCCAATAAGAATTTTCTTACACTTTTAAAAAATTCTTACATGGTGTACAAATTTATTATTATGAATATCCTTTTTTCCCCTTTACATAATACCTGAATTTAAATGAGACAAGGCTCTCAAAGTCTTTATTTAAGTAGGAAATATGTGGTCATTTTATTACCTACTTGCATGTGAGGAACTCAGAATGCCAAGGATTTTTTTCTAATTTAATATAAATTCTTAAAAGCATTTATATAGTTTAGGGATCCAGATATCAGTTAAAATATGATAGCCAGTATGGAATTATTGAATCACTATTTTGTACACCTGAAATTGGTATAACACTGTATGTTAACTACATGGGAATTAAAATTTTAAAAATTCTGATGGCCAGGCCCAAGAATTATCAAGACAGCCAATCGGAATTAAGGTTTCTTTGGAAATGGTTTGATGAGAAGTGGTAATTTCTAATTTGGGCAAATATTACAAGACCCATTCAAATTAACTCTCCCAAGGACAAATTTTTATTAGCAGAGAAAAGAACAAATTGGTAATGATTATGAATAGACATATCTCCATATTTTACTGGAGAATAAGACTTACTTTTTAATGAAATTTCTCAATTTAATGCTTTGTCAAATCATATTCTTCATATTAGTTTATGGTGCACAATGCTCTCTCTCCTTCCGTAGCTATAGGCTGAGGAGAAATTTCCCTCCATCTCTTTCTGTAATAAAGGCTTTTATTTATTTATTTGAGAGAGAGAGCCTGAGAAAGAGCACAAGTGAGGGAGAGGGAGAGAGAGAGGGAGAAGCAGACTCCCTGCTGAGCAGGAAGCCTGACTCAGGGCTCCATCCCAGGACCCCAGGATCATGACCTGAGCGGAAAGCAGATGCTTAACCGACCGAGCCACACAGGCACCTGTACTTGTTAGTTATAAAGACTTATATTTTTCAAATCTGACTACTGGATTTTGTTAGATAACCATATAAGAAATGCAAGCCCATAGAGTTCAGAAATAGTTACTTGGCAGAAAATAGAGAGGCATGAAAAGGATTTCACCTAAAAACAGTAATACAGGTACATAGAGATTTTTTTTCTCCTATGGTTTCTTCTCTTATTTCTTAAACCAGAATCAGCTTGAGATCCCCTGTGTTTTTTATTTTCAGATTTCCTTTCTTGTCTTCACCTAAATACATGATGTGAATGATTTGTTCAGTATTTAGCTGATGATGTTTATGATACCTTTTTAATATCTATTTATTTTAGAGAGAGAGAGAGAGAGAACACAAGTGGGGGAAGGGCAGGTGGAGAGGGAGGAGCAGGCTCCCTGCTAAGCAGGGAGCCCAAGGCGGAGCTGGATCTCAGGATCCTGGGATCCTGACCTGAGCAGAAGGCAGAGGTTTAACCTACTGGGCCACCCAGGCCCTCCAATGATACCTTTTCTTAAAAGAATACATCTTAATAATATTACATACACATTATTACATATAAGCTAAGTATTATTACTGGCATCATTAAGATACTTTCTATATTTTTTCTTTTATCTCCAAATACTGACAACCCTTCTTTATCCACGTTCCATTTACCAGAACTCATCCTCATGAGCTTCATCATACTTCCCTTTTTCTTTGCTCTGTTTACCCACTGTACCTCCCAACTCGTCCACAACTTCTCTTTCCTTTTAAATCAGACCACATCTACATTGACAACCACCAAAATTCAGTCTCCCTTCAAAGTACTGATTTTGGGTGAAGATGCACAGCCTTCAAAACTGTCTATGATTGCTGATTGGACTAGCATGAGGAGTTCGGCAGAATGGAAGAAAGAGCCAGATTTGGGGGTGATAGGAATATCCCCCTAAATGGGTGTGGAAGGCTTCAGTAGAGCGGTCGAGATTTTGAAAGACTGGACAAGCTCATGCTCATGCTAAAGACTGGGTAGAACCTTATGAATTCCCCATAGCTCAGCCTGAGGTATACAGCAGACAATTCACAGTGACCCCTACTGATGGGGTCAGAGCTCTGATGAATCCAGAGCTCCCTTTCTTTTTTAAGCTCAAAGTTTCACCAGGAAGCAGAGTCAAGGATCTCATTTGCAGCATGGCTTAAGGTAGAATCACAACACTCGTTCCCAGTGACACTTGTCTTATTCAGATAGCCCCACAATGCAGAAATCTTGAGTTTTAAATGCAAGGTGAGAGGCTCCATATTTGCCTATGATAATGAAACAGAGAAGGGCTAATTCTGCAAGGTTAGGCCATTGTTGTACCCCAAATATTTAGCATGTTTTCCTCCTTTAGCTGTCCTTGCCCCAGGTCCAATGTACTAGCGTCACAGAAATTCCTTCTTCCTGCTACATGGCAGGTGAGAAAAAACTGTGCATTAGAAATAGTTAAGCCTTTACATATTGATGCATCCAAGAATATTTTGGGTGAGTAATTTAAATGAATAAATTAATTCTTTTTGTGAAAAATGGAATCCACGTATATAATTGTACAAAATACGTACTTAAAGCAAAAAAAAAAAGAAAGCACAATAAAATAAAGGGAGGGATAAAGAAATATCAGAAAACTACAAATTACAAATTGGCGTGTGGATTATTTTTTTTTTTTTTAAGAGAGAGAAAGCACACACACGTGCATGAGTTGGGGGAGGGGCAGAGGGAGGGGAAGAGAGAGAATCTTTTTTTTTTAGATTTTATTTACTTATTTGACAGACAGAGATCACAAGTAGGCAGAGAGGCAGGCAGAGAGAGAAGGCAGCGGGGGGGTGGGGGCTGAGAAGCAGGACCCTGGGATCATGACCTGAGCCAGGACCCCGGGATCATGACCTGAGCCAAAGACAGAGACTTTAACCCACTGAGCCACCCAGGTGCCCCAGAAGAGAGGGAATCTTAAGCAGGTTCCATGCTGAGCTTGCTTGATCTCACAACCCTGATATCATGACCTGAGCCAAAATCAAGAGTTGGAGGCTTAACTGACTGAGCCACACAGGCACCCTAGTCCCTTTCTTTGAAGTTTTGTGATTTTTGATTATTGACTCTTTGTTATGGATAGAAATGTTGTAATCAATGTTGTTGGTTAATGAGGGTTCTCTGTAGATCCCATTATGAAGGTGAGGCTACCTCTGGACTACATGTTCTCAGGAGGACTATAAAGATTGACCATAGCTGGGTGAACCTCCTGGCCTCACAGGAGAGGCAGGGGGAGGCAGCATGTGTGGAAAGCAGTGGTGGAAGGGGAGGCAGACCTCTTCCCAGGAGCCTGGGCCTGAAGGGTTGTGAAGGAATCTGTCCCTGACAAACTGGTTTCTCTAGCCAAAAGAGGATGGAGCTTGTGTGGCTTGTCTGAGGGTGGCCTGCAGTGATCACCTGACAATGGCCTTTCTTTTTTTTTTTTTAACTTTTTTTCGTTTTTCCAGTGTTCCAAGATTCATTGTTTATGCACCACACTCAGTGCTCCATGCAATCCGTGCCCTCCTTAAT